ATATATATATAATGTAATATTTTAAAAAAATTTATTATTTAGGACCTTTGGTTAAAATTTTAGTTTTGAAGGTGAATAAGAGATGAAGGATGCAAGCTAAAAAAAATTATTATTTAGGACCTTTGGTTAGAATTTTAGTTTTGGAGGCGAATAAGAGGTGAAGGATGCAAGCTAGAGGAGGAAGATTGACCAAAACAAACTTCGGTAAAGAAATTTAGATTTATATTATATATTTAATTATTGAATTTAATTAGGATTAAATAATGAATTTAATATTTAAATAATAAAAAGTTAGTTCATTAAAATATTAAATTAATTAAATTTTATGTCATGTTAGGTTCCAATTGAGTCGACGTCAAGAAAAATCAAATAACAAATTTATCGACGTCGAGGTGAGTACTCGTACTTTTGATCTAGTAAGAAATTTGTTTCTTCTAAACTATTTTGCAGTTAATGACGTTGTTCATGTTTTATTCTGATTGAGATATTATTTTCTTTATCGGTCATATTTTTATGAATGTTTGTAGCTATTTGTTATCATGCATTGACATATGTTTTATGTAGTATACTTAATTGAATGCGATGAATAAATGAATGATATATTTAAGTTGACTGTCTGTATGTGCATGACTGACTATAATAGTCACCACTTAATGGTACTAGTAGGGAAATACTAAGGTACCTTTGCACGCATATAAAAAAGGATATTGATATTGATGTGTCTTAAGGTTCTTTAAATAACATTAAATATTTTTATTGATTTATTAAAAGCTTGACTAATATGAATATTGCTTCATTTTCTCTTGTATCACTGTGGTTTATGAATGAGTATTCACTGGCTTATTTAGCTCATTGTTATTTTTAAACTAATTTTTTGGGTTAATTTAATTGATTAAAAGATGAATGAAAGAAGGAAAAATGTTATAAAAGATGCGGACAACCAGTAATGAAGTAATTTTAAATATATTGTTTTATTCTATTTCGATTAGTGGTTCTTTCATCTATTAACTAGTAATTAAATATAAAGAATTCATATTGTCGGGCAGTTTGTTCCGTCTTGATTAATTTCAAGTCCCGAGCCGGGTCATGGCATATAAAAGCTTTAAATTTTATGGTATTTTTGCTTGTATTAGTTTCACTTGTATTAAGATAAGTCATAAATCATTATAATAGTTGATTATTAGCTTTTAAGGCTCCCCTAAATTGGTTAAGCTTAGAAAAAGCCTATAACTAGAGCCTCACTTTGTAGTTTTGAATTCATTGAACAAAATTATCTTTTAATAGTGCAAATTTTGTGTAGAAAAGCTTGTTGGCAGTTCAGTAAGGCTTGGTGCTTGATCCCCTAGAATTTTGTAAATCCATAGTTAGCTCTTTGCAAACTTACTCCAGATTAGCAATATAAATGCCCTCTCCTTCTAGCTAGGCTTGCCAACCCTAGATCATAGCCTTTCTCAACCACAAGACACCTCCAAACCTTTCAAAACTCTCCTATACATTCCTCTACAGCCCCTACAACAGTCCAAGGCTTCAACTACCCGGTACCCTAAGATAACCCAGTCAAATTCCTAATATAGGAAGACAATTCTCTGTTGTGAGCAACAAAATTAAAAATTCATAACTCCTAAATGACTGATCCAAAACATGTAAAAACACATCCATTAGTTCAATATCCAAAACCTATCATCTAAAATTCCTCATCATTTTCTTCCAAGGAAAACTTATTCCTTCAAAGCTTATAGGTTCCACCCTCAAAAATGTCCAAAATCTTATATAGCATTTTCCTTTCTAGCCAAATGACCCTTCCACCACCACCAGAAAAGGATACCAATCATTTTGCTACCTTCATCATAAAAATCATATAGATACTATATAGTATATCGTATGCCTTTATAAAAACATTAAATTCTTTCAAGGCAAAGAAAACTACTTAAAAGTTTATTTAATTATTTGTTTCATTGCAACTAAAATATAGTATTTTTGCGATACGGCATGGTAAATCTTGAACCTTCTACTACCAGCCTACATTAATATGCTCCTACATATTAAAGAGTGTAAAAAGACTATGATATTAAAGAGTGAAGATTTACATAAGAATTATTGGATCCTATGAGAAAGTATTTAAATTTAAACCAAGTAACTGAACCATGTAAGACTAGAGTTATACAGCACCTTCAAAAATGTCCATGATATACACAGTATCATTTAATTTGTCAAACCAATCACCTACCAGAATTTCAAGCTACACATATTGCCATTAAATTTCATCCTATATTGAATAGATTTTTCATGCTTATTAGTTTATTAGAGAAAGTCGTCTTAGATGATTTGGTCACATTAAGCATCGGGCATCTGATGATCCGATTAGGAGAGTAGATGTTTTAGATTCGGCTTATGCTAAAAAAGGCAGAGGTAGACCGAGGAAGACTTGGGCTTATTGCATAAAAAATGATCTTAATTTAGTAGAACTAAATGAATATATGACACTAAATAGGACGCAATGGAGAAAAAGGATTCATGTAGCCGACCGCACATAGTGGGATTAAGGCTTTGTTGTTGTTGTTGTTGTATTAGTTTATTTTTTAGTTCCTCGTGAACTAATGATTAATTATAACTTCTATCTGAAACACATTTATCCTTCCAGATCATGATTACTTTTGAATAGTACTTCAAATGGGAGTTTATAGGTGTAAATAAGCTAAAAAATTTTAAGATGACAGAAGACTGATACAATACAAAGTCATTACTGCTACAGTTCTTAATTACCTATCCATCTTATGCAGTTATTTACTAACTGAGAGAGATAAGTCAAGCAGAAAGGCTCTCTTCGTTTCTTATCCCAGATCTTCCATTGGCCCTTCTGACTGGAATCCTGTCAATTAAGCAACAAAATCTGTAGAACAAGAGGAATTTTTCAAATTTGTTGATTAGTCAAAATGAGTTCTCACCTCAGTACTTTTGTCTTTGAAATCATGCTCTGCAAGAAGTGTTTCTCTTAGAGAATCTGATTGGTAAATGTTCAAATGCTCATCTTTACTATCATCAATTTCCCCATGATATTGACGCCTTCTGATGGCTTTAGTGGGCATGCTACCCGTTTATTTATCTGTCAAACTATTTCTGGAACAACAAGCATAGTTGCATCACATATGTTATAAAAACTAATAGTTATATCAGTTCCAAGAAACAGAATAAAAGTTGAAAAAAAAACAGCAATTTACACATACATCTCTGATAAGCTAGTTTCCAACTAGACAATGCTGAGAGGAGCTAATATCATACTAAAGAATTTATTCATGAATAATGGTGAAAATTCCACAATTGCTGTGCCTTGAGATTTCAGGAATATCCAACCAACCAGAAGAAAGGTTTCTGTATGGCTAATGTCAATTAACACGCTCTTTTAACTTTAAGAGGCTGTTTAGAAGACAGTTTTGAATAAAAGTCAACTGTCCACATGGATGCGGACAGGTTTCGCAAGCAAAAGTCAACTGTCCAAAGACTTGCTCTTAGAGTCGAAGTAAAATTCATTTTCACATGATTAAATTAATTTATAAGCTTGTTTAATTTATATCTATGCTTGATATCACTTGCTAGGAACCATAAAAAATCTATACATTTCATCTTTTTGGAGAGTTGTGATATACAAAAAATGAGAAAATATGTAAATGAAAATAATTTATCGTAATAATTTACATTTCATATCCGTTGAATGTGAAAGAATACAGAAATACTACTATTATAATTTTGCAGTCGATACATATATTAGTCATTTATGATTATGCGTATAATTGAAACTTTGATAATTAAGCATAAAGTTAATATATGTGATTTATGTAATTTGTATAGTTAGGGTTTAACCACAACATCCTTAAATATTGTAAGTTTTATAAATCACATAAATAATTAAAGACATTAATTGTGATTAATTATATAGATATAATTGATTTTATCCCATAGGAATTTTATTATATTTATATAATTAATTACAATAAAACATCAAATTATATTTTTCTAATTTATCCACAAGAATTAGAAATAAACATAATTTAATATTTTCATTATTAAGATCTAAGTGAATTTAGTTGACACGCATGCAAGTTTTATGTTAGTAAATTCATAAATATTAATAAAACATGATTTATGTTTATGAGCTTCAATTTTTTGTATAATATGCATATTTTAATTATTTTTATTTTTTCGGTCATGCAATCAACAAATATCTTTATCGTTAAATATAACAATCAAAAACTGAAAAGTAATAACTATAAAATATGAAAAGTGAGAATTCTCTCTTTTTTAGGGTGAATGGAAGTGGTTATACTATTAGAAAAAATGAATCACCTGTATTTATTTGAACTAGCACTATTGACGAAATTGTACTTTATGGAAATTGATAGTAATCCAATTGTCTTAATTTAATATTCATAAAAGACAATGATATATATAATTATTTGTGATTTAGTCGATAGTACACGTGTAAGATTGCTACTTAAGGAAATTGATGAACAGTTTAACACCTCAGATAAAACTTTTGTTAGTATTCAATTATGAAATTATCTCTAAAACTAATGGAAATAAAAGGTGTGCGGGAGCAAATAATGTAAATGCAAGAAATTGCAACTCAATTGAAGAAATTATCTTTTTAGTGCACTATATTTTAAACACTATTCCACAACAATATTATATTTCCATAATATCTTATAATACATAAAAATAAATGATCAATTAATGGACATTAGATCATGTGTGTTCAAAAGAACTTGAATGAACTATATTGTTGTAGAAGAGTGTTTAAAATATAGTGCACTAAAAAGTACTAACATATCAATTTTAAGCGTCTTCAATTGAGCTATAATATCATGCATTTGCATTATATATTAAATTATCCATCAATTGTTTAAAGTAATTCACTTACATAGTTATATTGATCAACCGAACCAAGAATCTTTGTGGATATCTTATCTTTATGAACATTAACCAAGGACTATTAGATCACTAACAATATTCATAAAGTGCAATATCACCAATAGTGATAATTCAAGTAACTGCAAGTGTTTTGTCTTTCCTAATAGTATATTCAATATTCACTCACCATAAATGAAGAAGAATTTTCTTTTTTTCATATTTTATAGTTATCACCCCTCAATTCAATAATGTCATATTTAATATAGAGATAATTAATGATGGTATAAATGCAAAAATAAAAATAATTAAAACATGCTTATTATATAAAATTGAGGCTCATAAATACAAATCATGCTTTATCAATATAAATCAATCATCAAACAATTATGATTTTACTGATATAAAACTTATGATGGTCAAAAGTTCATTTTCAACTAAATTCACTTATATCTTCATAATAAAACTATTAAACTATGTTCATTTCTAATTTATGTGGGTAAATTAAAAAATTTAATTTGATATCTTATCTTAATTAATTATATAAATATAATAAAAATTATTGAGAGATAAAACTAATTAAGATATATAATTAATCACAATTAATGTCATTAATTTTTTATGTGGATTACAAACTTTAATTATACAATTTTAACAATTAAGGATGTAGTGGATAATCCATAATTATTCAAACTATATAAATCACTGACATTAATTTTATGTTCAACCAAAGTTTCAATTGTACGCATAATCATAAAAGACTAATATATGCACCAACAACAACAGCAACAAGCCTGTATTCACTAATAAAAAAGCTTATGTTTCATGAAAAAATATTATGTTGTTGCACTTGATCTATATAATAATCTTGCGTTCTGACTTGAAAAGCATTTATCTCTCAAATCTCTTCTACCTATGTTATCGCTTCTTGACATAAATTGCCATATGAGAAGATCTAAGAAGAAACTATTCAACGGAGCAAACAGGTCCAGCAATAACAAACCCCCTTTACTAAAGTTCCACATCCTAAAGTTACTCGTGAATTTGGCGGTCATCATGGAAATTAGTAATACGCATGCTCAAGATAACACAAAAAATCAATTTCATCACACATATGTTTGTAAAATTGCAGTCAGTATTTTAACAAATTTCCCAATTAGTAAAATTAACAGGAGAAATATCATATAAAAGTGATTGCTTCATTAAGCAGCATGCTGAAGCTTGGGTTCTTTCTATCTTTCTTCAAAATATTTACTGTTTGTGGATAAAAGGTTTATGGACAGAGAGAATTTAACTTTTTTAATTGAGATAGAGTTGCAAAAAATATGCCTTTACCATGAAGCCTACAAAACTCTCCATGTTATCATGAAGATTCTAAGATAGCATAATTTTCTGTGATAATTCATCTATGTTATTTCTTAATCTTATATTTTTCTAAATTATACTTTAGAATTCTTTTATAAAAGATATTTATTTTTTTATCCTCTCATTTTCTGTTTCCATCCCTCAATTTAGTAATTTTCTAGCAACAGTTGGTCACTAGAAAAGTAGATATGGTTATCACCCAAAACCTATGGAATTCCCTCAATTTGATTACTAACTGTTGGTTATCGAAGATTCCAGGTGGTTATTACCGGACATACAATAATAACGTGTAGGAAGGAAGAAACAGTATTAATGGAGGGAGACGAGATGTATGAAACGGGTGATAGCAGCAAGGGTTCAAAGAATGCATGTGAGGAGAAAGATAAAGAGTACATTTAGTTTCAAAAGTAGTTCGAGGAAAAAATTTAACCTTTGATAGCACAAAAAAATAATACAAATAGCTAAAGCATTAAAAAATAAATTATGGTCAATAAAAAGTAGTGGTTTTTACATGTTAGCACTCCAAACATTCTTATTTACATATCTCACGCCCTAAACTTTAAATTTACAAATAAAACCATTAAAACTTCAAAATTCGCCAAAATTAACACCTCCGTTCACGCCGTCACCGCCTCAATTATTTCATATAAAAAAAGACATTACATAAACCATGTCGTTCACAACTACCAAAGCAATAGCGTTAGTAGCTGAACTTCACCCAACTGAACTTGACTCCTTGACTCTCTACCAAAGCAATGCAATGGAGTTCGTAGCTATAACCAATGTTTCCATGCTACCATGCCAGTTGACTCTCCTGATCACTAATCCATTCAACAAAAATCATGAAAAAGAAATCCAAACCCTCCAACTTGGCTTCTTTTCTTGCTCGAAAAACCAATCCCAGACACCAAACAAAGATTCCCAGCTAATAAAACAGAACCACGGCAATTGAACACCATTTTCCTTCAAAAAACAAAATAGAACTGAGAATACTCATCAGAACTTTATACCTTTAGACGCCCGAGGCACGCCCGAGGAGACAATGCTTGAAGCTGAAGTGAACTTTGCTGCTTTTGCATGTGGTTAAACCGAGTTTGTTGAGGATGTGACAGAAGCGACTGGAGGAATAGTGAGGCGTAAATTTTAGGAAATTTTGTGTTTAAAGTGCTTTATTAGTAAATTGAATGTTTCGGGTGTGTGATGTGTAAATTAGAAGGTTTGGAGCACTGCTATGCATGTAAAAACCCCTAAAAAGTAATAAAGCAACGTCGATTATATGCACTCCCAATTAAGAAAGAGGGTTGGGTAGTTGTGGAAGGAAAAAAAGAGTTTTCCACTAGTTTCAAATTCATCACTTCCACAAACCTTTTTTTTTTTTTTGGTAAAAAAAAATAAGCGTATCTTACTAGCCTTCCATATAGAACCACCATAAAGGATTAGGAAAAAGTTTAGCTAGCATTTCAAGCACTTTTAAAGCACCAATTCATAGAAAAGGGAGATATAGTGGGATTTAGGGAAACTGAAACAATGCTACATGGAATCCGAGTAATCTGATTAGTGGATGGAGACATTCTATAAAACACAAACATAATAATAAAATACAACCATGTAAATTTGATAAAATGGGTTTTTATCTTTGATTTAACAGATCAAAAGAAATTAACCATCCATCCACATTCAATTTTAATACGACCATACTCAAACATACATCTACTTGCCAGGTATCATCGCCTATGTTTAGTTGCTAGAAGGTTTTCAACTTCGTGAAGAAGCTAGCAACACAATCACAAGATAGTTCACTGTCCACTCAAAATTAAATTAGGTCCGTTTTGAAAATAAATGTCATTTTCCTTACATTAGTAAAATAATTTGAACCTTTATCTGACCATTCATGAAGCAGCACAAAGCAACCCCGTAAAACCCAAGCCAATCCAACAAAAATGAAATCAGATTAACAACAAACTTATTACCAAAATTTTAGATAAACCCTAGAACACAATATACAAAACAATCACAAATCATATTTAACATTGAGAGCAATTTCAAAGAGCGGACGAACAAATTTCTCCTTAATCTCATAAAAACCCAAAAATAACAGGATTGAAAAATTATGGCTGCGAAAGAAATGTAAAATCAGCATCCTGACTTCGTCTTTGATTCTAGCCTAGTAAGAGCAGAAGAGGATGCATTACCTGGAAGATTGAAAACAGATCAACGGAAGAAGACTTCTAGTTTACGAAAGTATCACAAAATTTGAAAAAGCAATCAATTTTATCAAATAAAAAAAAAGGTTTCTCAAAACAGTGGCTCTCCCTCTCGAAAAAATATTAGTTACTTACGTAGTAACGAAATTATTTCTTGTAGTGTTATTCAGGTGTTATTGTGTGTTATTTGGGTGTTATTATGTGTTATTTAAGTATTATTGATGTGTTATTGTGTTATTATAACACCGAAAATATTCCCAGAACACATAACACCTGAATAACACAAGGGGAATATTCCCTTGTGTTACCGGGCGGATCACCTCCACGCCATAATTTCATTGAACTCCGCAAGTAGCTCTACGTGCGGAGTATTGATGTAATATTTTTTCCTCCCTCTCCCTCTCGGAAATAATTTGAGTATGCAGCGCTGCATACATTTTTTTCAGGTTATACCGAGGGTATAAGGAGGTCATATCTGCATTATAACCTCTTGTAACCTTCATATAACCTAGTGTAACATATCTGTAACCTACAAATAAATTCTTAATATATGAAAATAGAAGCGCGGGACTTATTTGTAACCTACCTGTAACCATCCACAGACCCCTCTTTTACTAGTTCTTTCATTTTTATAGACAAAGATATGCAAAGGCAAGAGGAAACACATCATGCCCCGATAACATCGAGACATGATCAAGATTTCCCTATCATGCTGCCTATTAAGATTAAAACAACAATCGAATCAGTTACTGACTTGGAGTCATATGAGATCTTGTCAATGGATCACATTAGGAGCTCACATGCCCAAAATAAAAAAGATTTTGGAAACTAGGCCTCCTTACCATTCTTACTTTAAGATGAGCGAATGTTTTTCATAGTCCCATGTCTGTCCAACTTGTTCTTGAAAGAAAAGATGTTGAATATTAAACTAATGTTGTGAGGATATTATAAAAACCCGACAGCTGCAAGTGTATCAATTGTTGATGAGTTGTGTGCATTTTATGTAACTTGTAAAATTTATAGAAAGTCATTTTATTTTACAAAGTTGATAAACATGTAACCAACTATAATGTAATGCTTTTAAATAATGATAATAAAAAAATAGACGATATTCCTCTTTCTTATTATTCTCGCCTTTAATTAATAAGTTCTTCGATAATGGATTGGTGCCCAAGAAGTGGTTTGTTTGCCCATCCAAATTGTGTAAGGCTATGTGGCAGAATAAACCCCTTGAAGATAAATTTGGCTTGGGATATGTTAAAAAACCAAATGAAATTAGAATTATCAGCACCTTGTGTAGAATAAATTTTACACTTGAGGGTGATGAGGTTGTTACCATTGATGATGAGGAAGTTGAAGTCAAATAGGCTTCTCTTGAATTGGAGAATGGTGTTTCTTTGACTATTGACGATTTGGTTGGGTACAGCTGACGATCTTCATTCAACTTTTATAAGTCAAATCTTGTTGGATTCTACGACTAGTAAAATCATAAATATCTTGAAAAAGTTTTGTGACTATCTTACATGAAGTTATGCCGAGATTCTTAGTTTAGCTCTAGCAATAATTATTCATAATTTAGCCATAGACCCAAGCATTAATTTGGTTAAGCAATATCTGCCAAGAATACAACCCGATATAGAGAAAATGGTTATTGAAGAAACCAGAAGCTCATCAAGGATGATTTCATTAGAGATGTTGTCTACCCTACATGGCTAGAAAATGTTGTACATGCTCGGAAGAAGAACAAATAGATATTAGTTTGTATCGATTTTTTGAACCTAGATAAGTATGTATGAAACATGATTTTCCTCTACTAATACCAGACTTCATGATGGATATCACTTCATTTCATGTAATGTTCTCTTTTATGGATGACTTGTCTGGATATAATCAAATTTGGATGGCCTTAGAAGAGGAACAACATATACCCCTATGTGGATTTTTCACTATAAGGTTATGCTTTTCTGTATAAAGAATGTTAGGGCAACATATCAATGTGCTATAAAGCACATCTTTAATTATGTGTTACACCATTAAGTTGAATGTTACATAAACATTGTGGTGGTTAAAATTCATTCTGAGGAAGATCATCTCTCAAACCTAAGAGTCATTTTTTAGCGCCTTAGGAAGTATGATCTAAAGATGAACCATCTAAAGTGTGCATTTGGCATATCTTCACGAAAATTTGTGGGCTTTCTAGTCTGCCATAAAGGCATTGGGGTTGATCCCACTAAGATCAAAGTCATCATAGATATGGAACCTCCTAAGAGTTTAATACAGTTGCGTTCCCTTTAAGGAAAGCTTGCATTCATTAGGAGATTTATTTCCAATCTCTTTGGCTGATGTCAACCTTTCTTGATTCCACCAATATTAGCAGCTCTTACCTCAAAGAAACTCATATTATATATTTTCGCTCTTGAAGAGTCGGTAGGTGCCTTGTTAACTCAGAATAATGTGGATGAGAAAGAATTCTTTGAACTATCTTAGTTGCCATTTCATCCCAGCCAAGAAAAAATATTTGTCAATCGAGAAATATTATTTGTTGTTGATATTTTTAGTCCAAAAGTTGAGGCATTACATGCTCTCACATCATATAAATTTGATTTCAAGGTTAAAACCCTTATAATATTTGATGACCCATCCCACTATAGTTATATGATTAGCTAGATTGGCCATCATTCTATCACATTTTAATATTTCATGTCCCTCAGCGAGCCGTAATGGGACAGGCCTTAGTTGACTTTCAAGCAGCTCATCTGATTTTGGTTGATTCACCATTGAATGATGAATTTGTTGATGAACATATGTTGGTCATTAACCCCCCAAAATGAGAGCTATATTTCGATGGAGCATCTTTCATAAAAGAAGACTCACCAGGATCTTTTCCTAGGGTAAAAGCTGGGATAGGGTTGATCATTGTATCCCCAGATCATCTTATTCCTTACTATTTATATAGGTTGAAAAAATCACACACCCATGATGAGGATGAATATGATGCCTTAATTCTGGGATTGGAGGTTGTCATCCAAATGAATATAAAAAAGAATTAAGTGTATGGAGGTTTTTAGCTCATAATCAGTTAGTTGTTGGGAAACAATAAGGTTCTCGAGCTTGATCTTCTAGCTTATCATAGAAGAGTAAAGACATTATTGGAGCATATTCTTGATCTTAAAATAATTAAGATATATCGTTCCTTGAATGACAAAGTTGATGCTTTCACTAAGCTAGCCAAGGTGTTATCGAGCCTCAATGGAGACCTCGTGATAATAGTGATTCGAGATAGAAGGGTTTTGTCACCAGCATATTCTGATATCCCAGAAGCTCAACCTTCATGAGATGAAGGCGCACTCCTTTCTGCTTATGATGAGTCATATTTTGATTGACATTAAGCCTTTATGACATATTTGACAAAAGGGATACTCTTTGATGATCTTTACCATGTTTTTATGATTCATAAGAGAGCACTCTTATTTACCATCATGAACAATACTTTGTATCGAAGCTTTTCTGAGCAAATGTGGTTGCAATGTGTTTGGATGGATGGAGCCCAAAAGATCATGAGTGAAGTTCATGATACCATTTATAAATTTCATCAATTTATGCAGCTTGGCTATTAATGGACTTCGATGACCCTTGATTACATGGAATATGTCAAACAATGCTATCAGTGCCAGGTGTTTATCCCCATACTTCATTAATCCCCAAATGCACTTCATCTTACAATAGCATCTTGACTCTTCAAGGAATGGGGAACTGATATCATTGGTTGTTGATCTACTTCCCAATTTGACTTCCTTAAGGCAAATGTCGCAATATATTACTTCTGTAACTTTATACCACATAGCAGATGAATCAACCTCTTTTGACTTAACCATTGTATTACTAGCATGAAAAACACTAATCAACATAAATATTTGCCACAAAAAATATTTACAACTCAAAGAAAAATAACAATGTCATAATATCATTTAACTGCCTAAACAACAACCTGCACACCACACCACACTATACTACTTCCACATCCACACACCAACAGCTCCACACACATCTTACTCCACACACCAACACCTCCACACATCAATTCATACACACCAACACCTCCACACACCAACACATCCACACCACCACCTCCAAACACCAACACCTCCACACAACAACACATCCACATCATCACTACCATCACGCACTTCCACAAAAGAAAACATCTACAACACCACTACCACCACCTCCACACACCAACACCTCTACAGCCAACACATTAACAACACCACTACCACCACCTCCACACACCAACAGATGGCTCATATGCGTCAAATTAGCCATTTGTATTTCAAATTTATTGCACATGCAATCACCACCACCACCAACTTTCGACCAACAAGAATAACTGAATAGAGCAAACATAAACCAAGTCCGTCAACAGGAAGTAGCATAAAGAATCCAAATCATCATCTAAGCATATCATAGAGAATCCAAAAAAATCCTAAAATCCAACATAAACCGAAAACCATTGAAGGATAAGAGCATAGAGAACCTAAAAAAAGCATTGCACGTCACTACTAGCAAAATTAAAAAAAAAAAACATCGCAAAGTAAAGGCGGGGAATACCAGAACAGAGGCGAGAGGAAGAGGAAATACCTCACGGAGAGTGGAGCCAATGATCCAAATCAAGCCGAAGAACAGAGAAGAGAGGGAGAGAGAGAATGGAAAGCTCACCGCAACAACCATAAAATAGTTAGGGCAAGAAGCGCGAGCAAAGGAGCCCAGCAAGAATCGTGAGAGAGGAAAGTTGGGGTCAAGAATTATGAGAGAGGCTAGGGAGTAAAGAATCGCGAGTGCTTCAGCACGGTGGCCTCATCAACCATCAGCGAAGGAACGTTAGCTGAGGGAAACCCGCGTCTCCTCCAAATTACCCAATTAAGCGGATGCATTGATTTTATCAAACACACACCCAACAGCCTTGAGCCACACCGCAGACATTA